AGCCCAGCGAAACTTGTAGCGCGAGCGCGGAGAATCGTCGACGTCTTTCCAAGCAGATGTAAAATTACATTCGCGACGCGCGTAGAATTCAGAGGCGATTCAGCGTCGATTACGTGTTGACTTAACGCGAACTTGTTTTCAAAATAGCGCGACAGTCTTGAGGTGTTATGTGAATTTCAAAATAGTTGAAAGTTTTCGTGCTAAATTTCCATTTGGTGGCATTTACGCCAGAAAAGAAGCTAATGAGCGAGATCCGGTAATGAAGTAATAGTCGCCATCGATTCTCGTCAACGACAGAGAAAGTACAATCACGGATGTCTTCGTACATTAAGGGGAATATAATCTCTTTAATTCCTCTAGCTACGGAGAGGAGGGGGGGGGGGGAACTCGAAAATGAGGATAATCGCGACGAAACGCATAATTACGCATATCAGATCCAGCAAAATAGTCCCAACCGCGGATTTTCCTTCGCGCGCAACAATTCGCTTGTTTCTCAGGCAATTCTCTTTTGAAAGTTTGTGATAATAGTAACTCCCGCGAGATGTGAGGAAGAATCTCAAGAATTGAAGGCTGAAAACCGCTGGTTATCGCGTTCGATCAACCATTGTTTGCTATGTAGTTATACAGTTATATTTTTAGATCCTACGGTTCATAATCTGTCGTGTAAATGACATATCCGTGCGGTACAAAAATTCTAAGCTAGAGAAACTGTCGGGATTTAGGTGGGCCCTCGTTCATGCAGAGACATGCAGGCATGCGGTCCGTCGGAAATTACCTGTGATCAAGCAGAACTCCACTGTGACGACTAGTCGAACGCGTCCGACAGGCAGCGTTTCGTCATCCTGACGCGACGGGGTGTGAGAGCCTTTTCACCGGTATCCAATTCACAGGCACATCACGAGAATGTCGCGGTCGTTTTTTTCCGACGTTTCTGTTCCAGCGCCGGTAAGAAACTTCGCGAATCTCTCCAGGTATCACTCCTCGCACTCAGTCGAACGTACGCGAGCACGAGAATCCAGCGTGAGTACTTGCGAGTTGACTCCAAGAGAATCAACGTGTACCGATCGCCCTCTTCCCCCTTCGGAAGCGCGGAAGATCTCGCAAGCTACATTTCGTGCATCGGCTATCCTCCCGAGAAAAAAGTTCCGTTTCACGCGCGAGAACCTACATGGATTCGTCCTGGTGACTTTGCATCTCGTCGCCGGTTCGATGATTATTAGAATATCACTCCAGTGTAGGTGGCTCCGAACGGCTCCGATTCCACGGAACGGCTGTCACTCGATCGCCGTCGGTCGTGCTTCGAGCATATCTCCCTTTAATACGGGCGCCGCGCCGGCCGGGCGTAGCTTAAAGTTGCGCCTTGCCTGACCCGGAGCCTTCGCTAAAAACGTTCCGACGGGGCGACACCGCGACTAGGACGAGTACAGAGTAACGACAGTTTCACTGGACACCAAAAATATCGGGATATTCGAAGAAAAGTTTCCGCTGCGGCGCGATCCAGGCGCCTACGGTTCTTCACGGAAGATCGATTTCGAACGACCGCCGGCACTACGAACCAGCGTGTCCGACGAGCACTCGGGAAAACGGGATGAAACGGACTCGAATGTTCGACCGAAGGCGCGGAATTGCGCTTCCGGCAGTCGGAATTTACGGGCGCGACACAAAACGGTATAACGTCCGCACCGCTGAACGACCGAATTGTGACTGCGGACTATGGGCTTGAACGACCGTGGCCCCGCCGCAGCGGCCAGAACGGGGCGAATACGCCCCGCCTCATCTGGGAGGCTATGCCCATCGTCGACGGGACACGCCTCCCTCCCCGAAGGTCGGTACCTCCCTCTTTCGCGGACTCGGCCGCTGCCTGCTGCTATCTTCGATTGCGGCAGCACGGTAATACTGAGTTGAAATTTCATTTCAATAATTAATTATATGAAAATTTCTCGCCAATAACGAGATCGAACGGCAAACCGCTAATTATTGCAATGTTTTTGTAGAAACTTTAACTTTCCAAATAATTAAATTACTTAGCCGACCAGCCGATTCATCTTCTTCTCCCATTCCATGCGAACCACCTTATTAAAGAAAATGCGATATCTTCATGTAAAAAGGAGCTCCTACAATTCTATAAATAGGATTATGACGCATATCAATAAATGATTCATACTGTCTAATTATGGCCTTATGTGTAAAGTATTTTGACTCACAATTACTCATCGATTGAGTTTTATTTATGTTTTCTCTTCATACATCTAGAGACCATTTACAAAATGAAGTTGTAAAAATATATGCACTCTTCGCTAAATATAATATAAATTATTATTATAATAATCTAATAAATACTCTAATAATTAATTAATTTAATTAATTTTATATTCTTAGCATTCTGAATCATCGTTATCTATGTTTAATTCGATCTCTGTGATTTTGCAATTTTGTGCGAGGATCAAAGAATCACTCTTTTTCTTTTAAAAAAAAAATATCTAAAATATCTAATCCGACAGAAATAGTTGTCATCAATAGTTGTCATTACATTCACTATACTTTATAATATTACTTCTGTACTTCTGTTTTAAGAAAAACGACTTGTGTGGAGTAATGAACAATTTTAAATAAAAAAAGACTGTTATACCAAATTAATGAAATAATCGTAAATTGATTTAATCTAAAAAGGAAGTTGAATAATTTATCAGAAGATCAGGTATAATTATTCAATCTTATCAGGTATGCACGAGTTATCCTCGATTCATTATGTAACATTTTTTTGTAGATTGTAGGGAATTATAGGTATTTTTGAGACTTCGATTATATTATTTTAGTGTGTGTGTATTATTTTATTTTGTAGGACCACTGTTGCCAGAATGTTACGCGGTATAAATAGAATTATCAAGCATTTTTTTTTATATCATCATCCGTATATGCATTTACAAGAAAGCAACAAATAATAATAATCATTTTTCTAATTTATATCCGGGCGGGAACGCGACCCAACCTAATCTAATCTAGCCTGACCCGACGCGGGCCTGATCCTACGACCCATTTCGCCGTTAACCCTCGTTCCCAGCGGGACAACGGCCAGGTCTGTGCCGTCCATTGTTACACGACGGGGGCCCCCGAAGATTCTCGAGTTTTACCGCGCGTAAAGAACGACGCGGAGGAACGATCATCCGATTATACGCGGATGTCGCGTGCGCGTCAGCATGGCGCCTTCCCGCGAAGGGGTGGCCCGCCCGTCGGCGACTCTCCCTCCCCCGCTTCCGGCCTCCTCCCCCCCCCTCATCCCACCGTTTCCCGCGTCACGCCCTAAATAACGAGGCCGGCCCGTATGCTTTTTGCGTGCCATCCACATACACACGAACGTGCCGATCGCCCCGCCCCGCGAGCGCGCGATCAAACGCCATGACGCGTGCGCCTCCACTCGCGGGATTGTATGACGCGCGTTCGAATTACCGCCGCCATACTTTTCCAATGGAAAGCACGGCTACAAGACGCGGTCGTGGCGACTGGCCACGGCACGGCACGACACAACACGACACGGCACGGCACGGCACGGCACGGCGCGGCACGACGCCGGCTATTCTCTCTATTCCTCACTGTTTCTCCATGCGACCGATCGGTCGTCAAAAAACCAACGACTCCGGTCACAAGACCGGTAGGGAATCAAGAAATCAATCGGTAAACTCGTTGTAACGCAAATATCCAACGAGCACTCTTGACTGTTTCAGATGTTTCTGATATCTCGAAGAGTTTTGACATGTATCTAATGTCCTTGATATGAATCTAAAAAATTAAGTCTATGGAATGTCTAAGCAATGAACGAAAATAAGGAATAAGGGATTAAATTAAAGGGATAAAAAATTAAGACCAAAAAATTATTTTTGATCAAAGAAAGAATATCTTGATAAATCTTTGATTGTATGTTGATTGAAGCATAGATTCTTAAGTATATGTCGAAATTTAATTCTCTATTCCTGATTCTTTATTTTTACTTTCTTATTTTTACTCCTTTCATTGTTTCTAAGATCTTCTAATTTGCCAGCAAGTTCAAGTTAACGGGTCGTTAATAACATTTGTTGTAACATAATTTAACCTCAATGTTTCGATATCTTCAATTGTTTCGATCTGAAGTGTTTTGATATTTGTCCATAAGAATTCTTTACTAGAATAAGATATTTTAATTTGTTGCACTGAATTGGCAACACTAATATCTTCATTAGTTTCTTTTATTTCCAACTTTTTTATATGATTAATAATTATTATATCCCTTTTATTAATATATGTTAATTTTAATCTCAATTTTTTAAAATTTATTATTTATTATTTTTTTTTCTTAATTCTTCAAATTTAAAAAATCTATTAACGCTTTTTAATTAAGAATTAATTAAAAATAATTTTTTAAGTTAGAATTAAAAAAAGATGAACAAATTAAATTAGATTAAAATTAATCTATACCTGATGGAAGTGGAAAAAATTTTTTTTAAATATTGGCTCTTGTTTCTAATGCAATTTCGAAATATTACTAACAGAGTCCTCTGTTGCTTCACTCGATAATTTCATCGAAACATTATCAATATAAGAAAAATATGTACTAAAAAAAGTATTAAATCTAAAATTGATGCAAGAATAATTCATTTAGATTATTATCGAAACTGATTCAACAGATTTGAACGCGCAATATGGAAATCATAATAACTTAATTCGCGATAGAAAACACGATATCAATAAATAACTGTACACTACATCGTATAAAAGTCATGTTCATGGTCATAATATAAACGCGATAATGGAAATATTGGCATATTTCTTCTAAGTTACAAAGAGATAAAAATTAATCGGCACAATTATATCAATATTATTTGTCAATTTATTGATCAATATATGCGAAAAAAAAGAAAAAAAATGTTTTGCCGAAACCCGGGATTGAACCGGGGACATTTAGATCTTCAGTCTAACGCTCTCCCAACTGAGCTATTTCGGCTCATGCAGGTGATGGTATCGTTCCACTTTAGTTGTGGTAACGCATGCCACACGTAATTTTGTACCGTTAGATGAATACTGACCTCGGTCGGTCTCAGTCTTGTACATGACACGTCGAACAATAAGATAGCGTCCAAACTCATACACAGTCATCTTTCCATACTGTTCAATCGTATTAATTATATTGTAATTGACAAGTCTGAAGTATCGCTGTGGTCAATAATCCGTTTGATTGATTTCACAAGCACGGTAGGCACCTGTTAACTCCAACAAATACGGATTGATATTGTCCAAGTTGAAGGATGCATCGTGCGCTGATCAATTGCAACCAAGTGCAGACCGAAGTGGTGTCGCAAGGCCGTTGGATAGAAGAAGATCCGCAGCCGCATTCCAGTAAGCAGATAGTCCTCCTTATTCCAGGGAATCCGGGTATTCCGCGATTCTACGAGGACTTCATAAAGGCGATCAACTCGAGATTAACGTCGGAGATACCTATATGGATTGTTGGACATGCTGGACACGTCCAACCCCCACGGGATCTGGATATCGCCATGCCTAGTGATCAGAAATGGGCAGAGTCTTACAGTCTGTCAGCGCAGCTTCAGCACAAGGTATTGTAGCTTTCAAGCCCTTATTCTTATTTATTTATTTTTTTATTTCTCAACAATGTGACATGAATGGCTTATATTATTTTATATTTGCAGGCTGAATTTATAAAAAAGTACGTTCCAGAGGATGCACATCTACATATCATTGGACATTCCATAGGTGCCTGGTTTGTACTTAATTTATTAAAGGATAAGGATATCAATAAAAGAATACAGAGATGCTATCTGTTGTTTCCAACGATAGAATACATGGCAGAAACCCGTAATGGAATATTCTTCAATATCTTTGTGTGTTTTCTCTCATTTATCGTTATAATATCTGTCACCATGTGTGAAATGTAAAATTCTAATAATTGTATTTCTCTTTTCAGATATCACGAATCGCACCAGTTTTAATTTTCCTGTCTTGGATCTTTACATCAATGTTTCCAGTAACTGTACAAACCTTCATGATACGTACTTTTGGTTTGTTTTATGGCATCCCAGCTAGATCTGTCAGAGCAGTACGGGAAATGTTAGATCCGAGAGTCCTACATAGAATAATCAATCTTGCCAGGGAAGAAATGAAATATGTCAGAGAAGCTGATCATGAGATTATATCGAAACATGCTGATAAACTTTGGTTTTATTATGGTGCCAGCGACAATTGGACCCCAGTAAAATACTATAAGAATATAATGTTAAAACATCCTGACCTGAATGCTCAATTATGTCAGCGTGGCTTTCAACATTCTTTTGTGTTGAAAGATGACATAGATATGGGACACATAATTGGTGATCTCATCAATGAAAATTCAAAATATTGATATCTAAGTTATTGCATTTGTTTTTTACTAAAATATTTTTCATATATTTATAGTATAGAACGTATTATTTTCTATTATTACTTTATTTATATTACTTTTATGTTATACATTTCTTGTTATGGTTGATATAATATTGGTTATATCATTATGGTTCTGTTTAAAATTTTGGGAGATTATTTTAAAGAATTGCATCAATAATAAAATATAAAATGTGAACAAAAAGATGAAATTTTTTGTATATCAAATTTTATAATAAAATATTGCAAGAATTGTTATTATCTTTTATGTTATTAATTTAAAATATTTACTACGATACTTTCGCATGTTTCATATTCAAGTTTATTGCTATTTTCATTTTTGGCGCCATTCGCGCGACATCAGCGCTCTAACTGAAGATTCAGTACGTTTCATTCGATATTCGCAATGCTTTTAGAATCATTTCATCTTCATCGTTTACTGTATGAATAAATAATATTCTCGAACACCAAATAATAGACAATAATGATCCTCCATTAAGAAAATCGTGTAAAAACATACTTTAAGCAAATTAATAGGAACATTTTTTTAGTTGAACTTTTTTTGCATCGTTAATCTTTTCTCTTGTTTTCTTTAACGCGGAGGGAGAAAGAGAAAAGATAAACCGTGCAAAAAGTTCAGGGTTTCTAGTGCAGTATGAGTAATCAAATTTGCTATAAGTTTTCCCCCTAGAATTTACAGCACTTCTACTTAATTACCATACCATTTTTATTTTAATCTATAGTTACGTTTGTTGTGGAAAAAACTCATAATCCCCCTGCAATTTCCAAAATCTAAAGACATTAGTGAAAAAAGGAGCAATTTAAAATTCCACAAATTCTCCTTCGCGAAATGACGTCATCAATGCTTCAACCATTCGGAAATCGCGTACGATTGGCATGAATTTCTGGATTCACCAATGAAGTTCCTTCTTCAATCATCGCACTTTTCGAATATGGCCAATACGATGTGCCTACACCCCCTCCTCTCTCTCTCCCACGTTTTCTGAGCGGGGCACTTATCGCGTCTTTGATTACGTCATAGCCACTTCGGACGGCACAGCGTCGCTTAGTCAGCAGCTAGCAGGTAGTCGCCTGAGGTTTGTCGTTAGAGTTGTTTCGTCGTAAGAATCGTCCTCGTCAAGTACCGAGCGACGTCTGCGGATTCATCGAAAGGAACGATCCAACATAGTCGAAATGTCACGTCTCGCGAGAGTGTTGTTGCTGATCTGCTTGCACGCAGGCTTCAGTTACGGTAAGAGAATGAGATCGTCCAACGGTGGGATCGAATGTATCGGAGGGGGTGGGGGGAAGGGGGAGGGGGGGAGTAGGCGCGTTCGCATATACGACCAGGATCGTTAATGTCTCAATTCATGAATTTAGGCGCTTATCAGGATATATATGCGGGAATGAGTAGTGACACCCCTCGTAACTCAAGATTCCCTCGTTATTGCGCAACATTACGTTTTCTGTGTCACTGAACATCCGGTTGTTATTGTCGTTATTCGATTTTGAAAATCCTACAAGGACGCCGTGTATCGCAACTTTGTTTTTTGTTCGACGTTAACGATATTAATTTCTATCTCTTGATTTTTGTTTTTCTCACACAATGGAAATGATATAATTTCTCAACAAGTATTTCGTTTCATGGTAAAAAAAAAAAAAAATAGATTCATTTTCCTTGCAGGCAGTTGATTACGTATTCGATCATTGCAATTAATCGGCATTTAATCGACATTTTATTCGCTCTTAGCCGGTATAGCAAAAAAATCTTCAATTATATAATTCGCTGTATTTCAATTCATTTCTCTGTATGTTAATTAACAAAAAATTAATAATTCTATACACGAGACATATATTGGTTAATGAAGAATTAGTTTGTTCATGCCCATTTCTGCTAATATAAATTAACTTTAATCTCTGTTTAACTTACTTTTTATCTTTTCCTCTCTAAAAATAATTTTCTAAGAATTAGAAAATAATAAAGAGTAAACTAAATCGAGATAAAAAGTAATGGACATTATAGAAAATTAATGGATACATGTTATTAAAAGTAGAATGAAATTATATAAAACTTTTAAGTATTAGCTATTAATCGGTGAAGTATATATTTAATACTTCACTGATTAATAACTGCTATGAAGATAAAATGCTATATAATGATAATATGCTAAATAATGTTAAATAATGACATAAAATGCTATAAAGATTAGCTGACAAAGTAAAAAAATCGCAAAACTGAGATAGATTTACATTCATATCCTATTTCCATTTTTCCACAAATATTGCGAAATCGGATCTTTTGTAAAAGTTCTTTCAGGTTAATCCTTTCTCCCAAGTTGTCTGAAAAAAAAAAAATCGACAATAACTTAGCTTGGCAAATTTGATTAAAGTTCATCTCTGCCGACAACGCGATTATGTGAAGTTTCGCGTATTTTTTTAACATTTACATTTTACTGTTTTCTTTTTTTCTTTTCTTTAAATAATTTATTTACGTTTCTTTAAAGTAATCTCATTTTTCTTTATAATTAAACATTTATATCCCATTATTTTATATATAATGTGACGAAAGTGAAAATATGATCGTCGTTCTGTATATTAAATAGTCCTCTAGAAAGGTGAGATAAGATAAGCAAAAATTTGTTTATGTATGGCGATAAATATATCTTATGTGAGCAGATTCCTTTTGTGATAAGACATATAGTTTTAAACATCAAATCTGAACACTGAATTACATTAAATATTTCTTTTCCTCGCTGATAGAAATATTTTATTAAAATGTTTCTCAAAAATCTGAAATTAACCCTATTTTATTATCATTTCAAAATCTTTTTATTTTTAACAATATACATATATTAACTTCTCTTATTATATTTCACAATATTATATTTTTACAGGGAAAATTGTAATTTATTTTGAAATATATTCAGTAATTTCTAAATAAAGTAATTTTTAAATAACTATTTCATTAATTTCATAATGATTCTAATATTTGTCCTTAAGAAATTCAATGTAATATTATGAAATATAAAGGAAGTTAAAGAATCATGAAATTTACTAAAACCTATATATATTGATGGAATAATAATGAAATAGAGTTAAGGGAGAAAGAATTTCAGCAAAATATTTTAGGGCTTTTGTTGTCGTATTCTAACATGTTGGTTACTGCTAAAAATTACCTGAGAGAGTCCTTTTTCTTTCTTTCACGTTTTAAAAATGACAAAAAGTTAGACACATCCGTAAGACGGAACAGGAAGAGCGAGGGGAGGGGAAAGGAAACAGATTGCGATTGGCTCGCTGTATAAAGCTAATATTTCTGTTAAATATATATTTATTTCATTTTAAATATAATGAGTGTATTTAAATATATATAATTAATTTTTTTATAAGTAAAATATTCAAATGTTGTAAAAATATTCTTTGAAAATTACTGGATTTTCCAAATATTTCTGTTCAAAATTTCAAGTAAAATTAAAAATTTTTTAAATATAATTTTGAAATAAATTTATTGCGTGCACTTTTTATACATACATACATATATAAAGTTTTTTTTTAAGCTTTACGAAGGAAAACTGCTTAATATTCGGATTTAATTTAATCGCTTTAAGGAAACTGGATTTTCTTTATAAAAATTCAACAATTTCATTATAAAAATTCACATTTACATATCAATGTACGTTATATAAATGTGTATAATACAGTATTAATAGTTAGTAGTGAATGATTGGCAGATTACCAAGAGCTAAGCATTGCAAAAGTAGAATTATCGAAAGTTTTTTCTGTAGAGTAAAATTAAAATCTAGAAATAAAATTAAAAAATAATCTGAATTATAATAAAATTCCAATGTTTCTTGACTTTTAAAAACAAAAGAATTCTCTGAAAGCTACAGATTTTTTAGATTTTTCCAGGGAATTGATATCCTAATAAAGACCGGTTTTCTTCCATCGCAGTCTGATTTTAATTATCGATCTTGGATTTCTTGTGAAACCCGATCTTGTTTAATTTCTAACAATTTACCACTTGCGATCGGGATTATGCACTGAAAGTATTATTAATTCCAGTATTATTAACATCATAGTTTAATCGATTTTTTTGTTCTTTAAACTACAAGGGCAATCTAGCAAGAGCGGAATAGACCAGTGCAGTAATTAATTGGAATCCACGTGTTGGTTAAGCTAATGTTAATTTAGGCAGATGATCCTCTTAATCCTTTTTTATGCGTGCATTTTCCGCGTATATGTGTATGTCGTATACAATCTAACTATCGATTATATTTAACATAGGCGGAATCCATTTCGGTATCACGAACCACAAACTCTTCGATCGCGTCTTTTTTATTAAAAATATTCCTATTCGCATAAAAGTAAAAAAAAAATTATAAAAATTACGAAAATTATTATTCTTCTATGTTATATAAAAAAATAATTAAATTTATAAATTGTGATTGTATAAAAAGACAATTCTTCTACTTTGTTAATTTTTATCCAATTTTTCTAAGACTAATATCTTAAAAAACATTTTTAATGACATCTTTTAGATCACGTTGTTCGTTGAATTTAATTTAGATTTCTTATTAATGCTCTTAAATTACGTTTACACTTTTTCTTTGTATTCATTGATTAATATGAGACAAAAGATTGAGGCACAAAAAAAATATCCAATTCAGTCTTGGGTGGCTAAAAATCGATTTGTAAGGCTTCGAGACGATTCTTGAACCATCAGTAAGCTTGGCGAAGTCTCTTCTAAGAAAGAAATGCCGTCATCATAGGCATCTAATCTCTCACGTATATTACGGTTTGAAGTTTACACTTGATAACATAAACTGTAAATCGACACCGTACGTTCCTAAGCTATGCGCCAGAGAATTCGAGTTCTACAGAAGTGCTATGTGCATAATTTTTGTAGATATTCCGACGTTCGAGCATCAAATAAACATAATGATTTCTTATCCTTAAGATAAGATTAGCTTGATTCATAGAGATTGTTTAAATTGTTTAAAGAGTAGTGTCTTGTCATCAGTTGGCAGCAGAATCTGTCTTGATTCTTTTAACGGCTAATGCTAATGCTTATAAATCTCAAATGCGCGTGATGTAAACTTATTTTACTGACAATCTGCTCCATTTTCAGGAATGGAGTGTTCTTATGGAAGCAATCAGAATATCTTAGAAAAGGTATTCACTTCATGCCCGAGACCTTTTACAGACCCATCTGACTATTCTTACTGCTGCTACGATATACCTAATAACAGAGCCTACTGTTGCTCCGCCGAAGAATTCGCAAAAACTGGGTAAAATATTGAATATTTACTGAATGTCCTAAATAAACAAAGTTTGATAATCTTAATTCCAAATGACGCATGATCTTTTAAATAAAGTATTGAATTTACAAATTAAAATAAGCAGTTGAGAAAACAATTTCCGTAATGGAAAATAATACACGATATTTTTCTAATATATATATATATTGTTGTGTTATAGACTCAGCATCATCATTCCTGTGATAATCGCTGCAGCTGTGATCATCGGGCTAATAGTGTGCTGCATATCTTGCCTCTGCTGCAGCTGCTGCCCGTGGTATCGACGTCGCCAAGGCACCGTATATGGAAGTAAGTCTTCTCTCTTGAATTTTATGTGTTAATATTTTATGTATTCTGACATAATATTCTTATCGTACGCAATGAAATTCATTTCTTTGATTTTTTTCGTTATAGAAATGTTTATTTTGTATCAGAGACAGACAGCCGCTATTTTTATAGCAATACTCTTTTAAAATTTTCACATT